TGTATTTTTATTATTTTCATAACGTAATCTTTATGTTGTTACTTAAAGATGTTGAAAGCAAAGATGGACTTTGTTTTGTTTCACTTATTGAAGGGCTAGAAAATTAAAAAATCCTCTATTTTACATAAAACAAAATAAAATCTATGCCACCTTGAAATATGGGTTCCAGCCAGTACCATAATTGTGTGGAGGAGGTTTCAATTATGCATTAATTACACAGCAAAGCCTCCAGCTGACTCAGCCAGCAGGGGAGATGTCAGTTTCAATGAGGTGTTAAACAATGAAGGGAGTGTTTCAAACTTGAAAGAAAAATTAGGCATGGTCTATCCTAAAAATGTGGTCTGTTTGGTCTCTATGTAGCAAAGCTGAAGAGAAAGAAGACACTGTTTTACTTTGTGACTTCTATACATTATTAGATTTATAGTAAGTTCAAATGAACACTGCAAATGTTCTGGAGAATGAAGAACTGAAGACAGAATTTCTTTTCTGACCTTTTCAAACTTACTGTGAATATTTGGTAATCAGCCAAATATGCCTATAAAAATGTTATCAATTACTAAAAACTTTGAGAAACGAATGACAAATTTCAAAAAAATCATAAAAATGAGTTAGAAGGAACCTTGAAGATCACTTGATCCAAATACAGAAGTGCAAAAAAAATTAGTATCAAGAACAATGAAGACACATGATAGCTAAAACTCAGTGTTTATGTGTAGATATGACTACATCAAAGTTGTTTAAAATTAGGTAGAAATACACTAAATCACATTACATGCAAAACATAGCCAATTTTAAATTTCAGATACAGAAGTCCTCCATTCCATTCTCCAATTTTAACATTTTTCTCTGCTCTCTTTTCTCAGCCATTTATTCAACACCATTATACAAACATTTTTATCAATGTAGCTGCAACAATAGATTAAGAGGCCACTGTCTCTGAGAAATTCACTAACCCAATTCAATGGACTGCTAGCAAACTGCAGAACACAGAAACCATCACCAAGAAACAAAACCAAACAACAAAGAAGACGCATATAAAGACTATAAATGACAATAAAGTACTTTTGCTTACTGACCACAAGGTAGACAGGAGAAACATTAAGGCAGACACATAAACCAAACAGTTGTAAAGTGGTTAATGTGATCTATTGTTGCGCAGGTCTGACAGTTTCAGTCTGTTACCTATTTCACAATATGGGCCAAAAATGGATGTTATTCACCCAGGTGTGTATTACTTGAGGAATCTTATCAGGTGGCACATTCAATCAAAAGACCAACATCTGCCAGGATAGTAAAACTTTACTACAAAATTCATTTAATATAAAACTTCCACCTTCCCATCCTTTTATTGGAAAACAGTTCACTGAAAACTGTCATTCAAAACTTAACATATGGGTATACCAGTATGTGCCAAGCTACCTAGATTTTATTTGAAAGCAATTTAAATTGAAGCACTTAAAATATAACTCTGCATTTAGTAACTCCTAAACAAGCAAATACTACAACTTACTTTGCTTCCAATTTTAAGCAATTTAAGTATTTCTAAAATAAGGTTGTTTTTCATTTCTTTCTTACAGAATAATCAGTCACTGAGAAAAAAACCAGAGCATCCACACTTTTCTTTCTGGATGTTAATTATGATGTTGATTAAAGGCATTTTCCTAATTACCAGTAAAAATATTTAATAAGTTTTTAACATTAGACCATTCAGTCTATAAAGCAATATAATTATATTAATATGGAACTGAGGCTTTGGATTTTATAGAGGAGCTTTTGTTCTTGGTGGTCATCACATCCATGAAAGCCAGGATAAAACTCAACTTCTTGATCTCAAAGTCTGTTAAATGTCCACACTATCCAAAAGGTTACACTGAATTGGTCATCAGGAGGCCCGGTTTTAAAATTTCCGTGTATTTCATATTCTTTTTAGGTCTCAAATTGTAAAAAATAAATACATAAAAATTTCCAGTATTTGCTTTGATTAAAAAAGTGCATTATGTACATTCTAAGTAAAGCTTTTAATGCCTGATAATTGTTGAGGTTTTATTTGAACAAATTTATCAGCTGTAATTAATGGCTTCTAACTCACCACCACCACTATCCTAGAAGGTGGACTTACGGCATTATTTACTCATGTAGCTGCTTGCTTTGTTTTGCTTATTGAATAATCATGTTCAAGACAACCTATTACCTCCCCAAATGAAAGTGATCATCAAATTCATCTGGATCTCCTCAAGTCAGACACTGGCATGACCGATTAAAGACAAATTCATTTCTGATGCTGAATGTATACCAAAGCCAACAATCTATTCAGTTAAGAGGCAAATATTTTATGAAATATTTTCTGGGGGCTGGCCTTCTGGTGTAGCAGGTAAGGCAACCATCCTACACAGGTACTGGTTTGTGTCCCAGCTGCTCCACTTCCAATCCAGCTTCCTGCTAATGACTTGTGAAAAGCAATGAAGGGGCCATCGCTGTGGCACAGTAGGTCAATCCTCCCCATATGGGCACTGGTTCCAGTTCCGGCTGTTCCTCTTCCAATACAGCTCTCTGCTATGGCCTGGGAAAGCAGTAGAAGACGGCCCAAGTGCTTGGGCCCCTGCACGTACATGGGATACCCAGAAGAAGCTCCTGGCTCCAGACTGGCGCAGCTCCAGCTGTTGCAACCATTCGGGGAGTGAACCAGCAGATGGAAGACCTTTCTCTGTCTCTCCCTCTCAGTCTGTAATTCTACCTCTCAAATAAATAAAGAACATTTTAAAGAAAAGAGGGGAGGGGAGGGGAGGGGAGCAATGGAAGATGGCCCAAGTGCTTGGGTCCCTGGTGCCCCTAGTTGGCAGACCTGGTTGAAGCTCCAGGGTCCTTGCCAGCCCTGAGGCCAGCTGGGGAGTGAAGCAATGGATAGAAGATCTCTCTCTCTCTCTCTCTCTCTCTCTCTCTATATATATATATATATATATATATATAAAAATATATATATATATCTTGACCATTTACCATTTTTTTTTTTTTTAAGATTTCTTTATCTGAAAGGCAGAGGCAAAGAAAGAGACTGACAAAGACAGGGAAGTCTACCATCCGTTGGTTCACTCTCCAGATGGCTGCAACGGCCAGAGCTGTGCTAATCTGGTGCCAGGAGCCAGGAACTTCTTTCCAGGTCTCCCACGTGGGTGCAGGGGCCCAAGCACTTGGGCCATCTTCCACTGCTGTCCCAGGCCATAGCAGAGAGCTAGATTGGAAGTGGAACAGCCAGGACTCGAATCGGCACCAACAGACAGATGTTTTTACCTGCTACACCACAGCACCAACCCCTATAACTGACTTTCAGTTAAATAAATGTATCTTTAAAAAAACAAAGGAAAAGAAATTTTCTGATACTTTAACAGACTGCTTCCAATCAAGTGTAAAGGAAGTACGTTTTTCTTGACAGGGCTCTGCAGAAGCAGAAGCCAAGGCGCTCTTAGATAATCTGTCAGTCAAGGGTTAACTTCAATGTGACTCAGCTCTGATTTCAATTTGAATTTGTATTATACTAGTAGACCAGAAAGCTTCATGTTAAGGACAAAACACTAAAATAAACTTAAGGCTTGGGATATTCTTGGAGCACTGACAAGGGAGTCACCAAATCACACTCAAGGGCAGACCTTCGATCCAGGAATCCTTCAAATGCAGCCATGTTACGATTAGTGAGCAACAACTAAGTCAATAACACCAACATTAAACCATCGGATACCCAACACAAATGGAGCACTTGACAATTTTTGTAAAGCACCATTAGTACTGAACACTGCTAAAAATGTTCTAAACTGTTAACCCTATCTCTGCAGTGATTACAGCATTTTACTTAAAAAAAGATTGTGATTTTGAGTGCTTCTATTGTCTTTACCCCTATTTTTGATAAAAAGCATTCTGACAAAAGGAACAATCTTAAAATCCTATATTACCAAGCACTGTTTAACTAAATACATAAAATATTTATTCATGTTAGTAATTAGTATGACTGGGGGGTGGGGGGGTCTACCAAGAAAAACTCATTATTGCCTGGCTGAAGCTCCAGGGTCCTTGCCAGCCCTGGCCACTGAGGCCAGCTGGGGAGTGAAGCAACGGATAAAAGAGCTCTCTGTCTCTCCATCTCTCTCTCTCTCTCTCTCTCTCTCTCTCTCTCTCTCTCTGTCTATAACTGACTCTTTTACTGCCCATGCTGGTTCTAAATAAACTTGACAGCATTCTGAATATCACTTAACATGGTTTCTACATATATTGCTGGCTGATGCATGTATTGTTAAAACAATTTTATCACTGTCATTTTTTCTGTGAACAATGAATCCAAGCAGTATAAATATTAAAGCAACATATCATCTTCAAAAGTGATGTGTCTATTCATATTCATTAACACAAAAAGAACTGTTGCTGGAAAACATATATTAGGTAAATTTGAAGTCTAAAGCTGGTTGTGGAGGAAAGACATTCATTTTGTACCCATTACCATGATGCACATTTATTAGGACAAACTGAGTACAATTAACTATACTCATTTAAAAAAAAAATGTGGGAAACACTAAAAATTTCAAAAAGTGAAGCATCTAGAAACTTTAATGTTGGGTATGTGCTTCTATTTCACTTCTTTAATTTTTACTGCTAACTAGGGTATACAATTATGCCCCACCCACCACTCCCTATCTAGGTATACTTCTAAATTTGATTTAAAACTTCTTAAGCTCATCAGGGTATAAATCAAAAGGAACAATTCACTTTAAAAGTTAATCTAACAGCATTCTTTTCATGAGGACTTTTGCAGGAACTTTCTGCAATTTTCCCTAGAGTTATAAAAGAATGTACTTTTTTTTTTTTAAATTGTATTTCAGGTTCTCTGTAAAGCCTACGTAACACAAAAATCAAAATTCTGTTCTCTCAAAATAAGCAATACTCAATTAGTAACAGCTTCTTCTCAATGAGAGCTCCATGTCCTAAGAAAGAAATAGTTTCAAACAATTACTTACTTTAAATCCTGAAGAAGATCTTTTGCATTAAGCATGGTTATTAAAGAGGTGGTAGCTGCAGGAATTATGATAATCGGTGTTCGAGAACCTGTAAAGACAAATTTTTAAATGGTAGTAAACATATTATTACTATGAAAATTACACTTACTTTCCCTATCAAAAGTTAATAGTTCATAAATTTGTAACTTTACCTCTTTTGAGCCAAAAAAACCACCTTAAGCCACTGTGATATTACAAGTATTTAATAACCACTGTGGCTTGTGTACTGATCAAGAATGGGTATCAGAATGGATATCAAATACAAACATTTGATGCTACAAAAGCACAACACCAGCCCTGGTTGTGCCATCTAGCTCATCCACATTTATTTGTAAAGTGAGTGTAAAATCATACGTACAACCTCACCTTTCTTCTGATTTGGGGGAGGTCTTGCTTGTGAAACTGCAATGGGAGAAAAAACAATCACAACTGTTGTAAAACAATTCAAACTTTCAAACTTACAAAGAAATCCTAAAATTACTCGTATTCACATGGCTAAATATCAAATTTAAAAATAGATACTGTAATCTCCTCAAGTAATATTATTTCTCAGCTTCACAAAAGTATTGACACGCCTTAGCATTACTCAACAATCTGTAACCACAAGCAAAGTGGACATATTACAATGTCAGGCCCCAAGTATCAACTTTCATGGATATTTAGAGGTCTAGCAAGGAAGAAAACACACATAATCTCATAATAACCTGATCATCACTGAAACACAAAAACAGGGTACTTCAAGAGCATACAACATTTTGGCAAAGGGTATGAGGCAAGGGTAAATAACCATATCAGTAGAAAGAGAACAGAGTTAAATGGAGCTTAGACCTACAATATTTCTTACATTTTTTTCTTTTTTTAAAAGATTTATTTGTTTATTTGAAAATTATTGTTACACATAGAGAGAAGGAAAGGCAGAGAGAGAGGTCTTCCATCCACTGGTTCACTCCCCAACTGGTCACAACGGCCGGAGCTGTGCCAATCTGAAGCCAGGAGCCAGGAGTTTCTTCTGGGTCTCCCACATGGGTGGGACTTGGGCCATCTTCTAATACTTTCCCAGGCCATAGCAGAGAGCTGGATTGGAAGTGGAAAAGCTGGGACTTGAACTGGCGCCCAAATGGGATGCCAGCACTGCAGGCATTGGCTCTACCCACTATGTCACAGCGCTGGCCCCATCTCTTTTAAAAACTGTTTTATTTTTTGTTAGAATAGGACGAAAGGGGCTGGTGTTGTTGCACAGGGGTTATCTACCGCCTGTGACACTGACACCCCATATAAGCACTGGTTCACATCTTGGCTGCTCAGCTGCCAATCCAGCTACCAGCTAATGTGCCTGGGAAAGCAAAGGAAGATGGCCCAAGTTCTTAGTTCTCTGTACCCATGTGGGAGACCTGGATACATTTCCTGGCTCCCAGCTTCAGCTAGAGTTATCGTGGCCATTTGGGAAGCAAACTGTAACTTTTGTCTTTCAAATAAACAATAAATCTTAAAAAAAGATAAGATTTAAAACCAATGAGTCATGTATATCTAAAGTTTACATTACCAAGGTTCCCTGGTGTATAAGGGTCAAGGAGGGGATACTGTGAACTACTAATGATAAGCCTGATTTTTTTTTTTTTTTAAAAGGAGGTAGTGAGGGCTGACATTGTGGTCTAAGTGGGTGGGGTCACAGCTTCCAACACCAGAATTCTGTGAGTGCCGGTTGGAGTGCTGGGTTGGAGTGCTGGCTACTCTGCTTCCAATCCAGCTTCCTGCTAATTCGCCTGGGAAAGTAGAAGATGCTACAAGTACTTCAGTCCCTGCCGTGTGGGACATGAGAGACAACAAGGGTCTTCTTGGTTCTTGAGTTCAGCCTGGACCAAACCTCGCTGTTTTCGTCACCTGGGGATTAAACTGGATGGAGGAGATTTCTCTGTCTCTGTACCCTCTCTTGTCACTCAGTCTCCCCTCGCCACCATCAAGATTTATTTATTTTATTTGAAAGGCAGAGTTGGAGAGAGAGAGGGAGAAGGAACAAGAACTTCATTTGCCGTTTCACTCCCCAGTTGGTTGAAAGAGAGAGACAGATAGACAGACAGACAGAAAGAGACAGAAAGAGAACGAACCAACAGGAACTTCATTTGCTGTGTCACTCCCCAGTTGGTTGCAACAGCCAGGACTGGGCCAGACTAAAGCCAAGAGCCAGGAGCTTCTTCCAGGTCTCCCATGTTGGGTGCATGGGCACAAGCACTTGGACCATCTTCTGATGCTTTCCAAGGAGCATCAGTAGGGAGCTGGATTGGAAGTAGAGCAGCCAGGAATCAAACTGGCGCCCACTTAGGATGCCAACGCTGTAGGAGGCAACTTAACTTGCTACACCACAGTGCTAGCCCCACTCTTGGTCTTTCAAATAAATAAATATTTTGAAAGGAGGTATGTGTGTAAGATGGTGGTGAACAGAATAACACAAGAAGTCAGTATGGCAGAGGGGTCAACAGCAAGCATCTGTATTCCAAGTGATTTTAAGTTCCTTAGGATCCCCATTTTGTCACTTTTTAGGTAAATTATCCTGGCAAGTTGATTCACTTGGCTAGGTCTCAGTTTCCTCAACTGTAAAATAGAGGTAAGAGTTTCCACATCTTGATATTTTATAAGATTTATTTATTTATTCAAAAGTCAAAAGTCACAAGAGACAGTGGGAGAAAGGGAGAGGCAGAGAGAAAGAGAGAGATCTTACATCTGCTGGTTTACTCTGATCCAGCTCCCTGTTATTGGCCTGGGAAAAGCAGCAGAAAATGGCCCAGATGTCTGGGCCTCCACATCTTGATATTTTAAAAAACAATAATGTAGGGCTGGCATTGTGGCAGAGTGGGGAGTGGGTTAAGCCGCTGCCTGTGACTCAGATATCACATGTGGACAAGTTTCATACTCCAGGCCTGTACCACTTCCGATCTAACTCCCTGCTAATGCCAATGGTAAAGTAATGGAAGATGGCCCAAGTGCTTGTGCCAATGTGATTTTAGAATTACCTAGGTGAAAATGTACTACAAATAAAATGATAAACTAATCTGTACCTTTGAAACTCCCAAAAAAATTAGTAAAAGCATCCAATTAAATTCTTGTGTGGGCCTTATTTATATTATAGTCACTTTTAACAGTACTAAAGAAGTAAAAAGGGCAGACAGTCTAGCCTAGCACTGTAGTTATACTAAATATAAAATAAATACCAAATTCCAAAATATTTAAGATAAACTTAGTGTTGGTAAGTACATACATTTATAAAAATCAATCTTTTTAGGTGCTAGAAAGGGGGGAAAATCCTTCCCAAATGACTCAAAATTGTCTTTGCTTAACAAATACTTTTAAGAAATGACTACAGAATGTTATGCCTCAGTAACACAGATATTTGACATTCTAAAGATCAAAGCTCTACAACAATCTATTAAAATTATGATTCAGTGCTTTTGTGTGGAGAAAAATCCACATCAGCACATTCTATCACAGAGCTCGGATGCACCTGTTGGGAAACCAATGAACAGCCTCTGGAAACATTTTTAAAAGTCTTAATCAAAGTAAAAAGCACTTTCTTAAAAATTTCTGTTCACTTTCCAATTACACTTATTTATTCTAGTAAATGTTTTTATGGTGTAACTTTAAAACTCATTCAAATGTGTAGTGCTATAGATTCTTAGTGTTATATAAATAGAGTATTAAAAAAAACCTATTTTATATTTTTATATGACTTTTGAAGCAAACTGGGGGAAAAAATTCAGTAAAGCAAGCAATGAAGTCCAATAGAGCTGTTTAAATGCATGACAGGAAAGTAAATAATTCAACATGCTTTTCATCTTAGATTCTTTGTTTGTCTCCTAAGAACAGAAATTTATTAATGGTGCTAAATGAATTTTACCAAGCGTTTTATGAATATTGTTGCAATTTTGAGATCTGCTTAAGCAATATCAGCAGTTAACTGCAAGAAAAATGTATAACTTTCAATGTACTTGAAGTAAATTTTTCAAGTTATTCAAAACAGTGTAAGTATCTTTAAAAATTCAGTTACATCCATTTAGGAAAAGCAAAAACCAGTTTTTATATTTTTACCTGGTCTTGGTACTGGCTGTGCTGCAGGAGTTTGAGTCTTACGGGCAGATGCACCTTCCTTGAAAAAATAAAAATTGATATGATGTCAAAGATTCTTTACATAAAAAAATTCCAATTACTGCAAAGACATCTCAAGTCTCTGTCAGAAATATCATCCCTTCACTTTCTCTCATTAAAAATCACCTACTCACCAAATGTGCTATGACCCTGAGTTTAAAACAAACAGAAAAAGGTCAAAACCTCCCGTTATCTTTTATGGTATTAGTTATGATGCATAGTAATTAAGATCTTCAGTGGAAAATAAATTTAAACTATTATCACTGAGTACTTACATAGTATTTTTAGTGACTTAATTGCTAAAAATTTTAATGTCTCATAAATGTCATCACTTGTTGTAAAGTCAAGTCAACCTTTCTACTCTCTAAACAGTCTCAAAATGAATAAATGCTCCATGACCTCACATTAGAAACATGTAAACATGAGGCTGGAACTGTGGAGTAGAGGGTAAAGCTGCTGCCTACAGTGCTGGCATCCCATTCAGGTGCCTGTTCGAGTACCAGCTGCTCCACTTCTGATTCTATCTCTGCTATGGCCTGAGAAAACAGTAGATTATGGCCTAAGTCTCTAGGCCCCTGCACCCATGTGGGAGACCCCAAAGAAGCACCTGGCTCCTGCTCCTGGCTTTGGATCGACTGTTGCTGCCATCTGGGGAGTGAATCAGCAAGAAGACCTCTCTCTCTCTCTCTCTCTCTCTCACTGTCTGTAACTCTCTCAAATAAATAAATAAAATCTTTAAAAAAAATTTCCAAAGAAACACTGCTAAATAATGCTATCACTATATTCTCTTCACAATGTGAGGTTTCACATGGTAAACTAGTTTGAAATGGAAGGTTATCCTACAGCATTTTTTAAAACTAAACTGAACAATTAGTACCAGAAGAGAAAATGCTTCCACTTTCAATACAACTTTCTTAGCAGGCAGTTACATCAGAAACTACCCTTTCTTGAAGGAAACAAAAATTATAGCAGCAATTAGCAAAAACTCCTGGAGAGAAAAAAAAATAGGGTATACCTGAAGGCAGCAAATATTCTCACTATTCTGCATTTAGTTATACAATGATATACTTAATACTGAGTCACTTCATGTGCAGGTGACTCATGGATGTGAACATTCAGCTTGTGAAAACTTATCAAACTTGTTTATGTTATGGTCATGCTTCTTCAAGTAAATTAAATTCAGATAAAACTTGTAACATGAAACACTTGTGAGTCACCACTAAAGAACATATAAAACATTTAACATCATCAAAATATGAGGAAATTTTCTGATCATATTTGTTTCTAAGTTTATTTTGGAGAATATAGCTGTTTTATTCTTCACAGTCTCAGCATCAAATATTTGCTGAACTACATTGAATCTAGATTTTTAAATCAGATGTCAAGGAATAATTGATTAGTAGGACTAGAGAAATATTAGCTTCTCAGCACAAGTTCCTACACAAAGAAAAATCAATTAGACATATAAAAACAAGAGTACTTAATAACATTACTTATAAATTGTTAATAGGTAAATACTATTAGATAACAGTATTTACAAATAAGTAAACAAATGGAAGTATGGTGTGAATACGAATACAAAACAGAACAGGGAGAAAAAGGAAATGAGACAGGGAGAACAGTGAATGCACACAAACCCAGACACCTTCTACCTGCACTTGACAAGAAGGCTCAATGGATCCAAATCAACTACCAACAAAACAAATTACTATGAGCATGTAAACTATCCACTGACTACTGAATTACACTTTAATACTTGAACAAACTTTTACAACATGGGTCAAAAAAAAAAAAAAACTACAAGCATATAGAAGTAAAATAAAAAAAAAAAAAAAAACAACCTTGCCCATTACATAGAGACATTCTTCTCAGCAGTATATGGAACTTTCTCTAGGACAGCCATGCACTAGGCCATAAAGCAATCTCAGCAATTTCAAAAAAATCAAAATCATCCACGCATCTTCTCTGAGCACAATGCAATTAAGCTGGAATTCACCACTCAGGAATCTCTAAAACATATGTAAATACATGGAGACTGAACAACATGCTTCTGAATGAAAAGTGGGTCACAGAAAAAATCAAGAGAGAAATTTAAAAAATTCTAGAAACAAATGAAGATGACAACATAACATATCAAAACTTATGAGATACAGCAAAAGCAATGTTAAGAGTAAAGTTTATAGCAATTTGGGCTTACAACAAGAAACTGAAAATGCACCAAATAAATGAGCTCTCAATGTATCTCAAGGACAGAGAAAAAAAAAAAAAAAAGAAGGAAAAAAAAAAAAAAACAAAAAACAGTAAACCAAACCCAAAACTAGTAGGAGAAAATAAATAATTAAAATTAGATGAGAAATCAACAAAATTGAAATAAAAAAACAATACAAAAGATCAACGAAATGAAAAGCTGCATTTTGGAAAAAAATTTTAAAAAACTGACACACAATTAGCCCAACTAACCAAAAAAAGTGGGGGGGAAGGGGGAGACTCACATCAATAAAATTAGAGATAAAAAAAAGGAAACGTAACAACAGACACCACAGAAATAAAAAAGAGTCATCAGAAATTACTATGAGGAGAGTATGTCAAACAAATCGGGAAACCTAGAAGAAATGGAGAGATTCCTGGACACACACAACTTAGCTAATTTGAGCCAAAGAAGACATAGAAAACCTAAAAAGACCAATAATCAACACAGAAATTGAATCAGTAATAAAGACCCTGCTAAAAAAGAAAAGCCCAGGACCAGAGGAGCTTCACTGCTGAATTCTACCAGGCATTTAAAGGGGAACTAATTCCAATTCTTCTCAAGCTATTCAGAACAACTGAAAGAGAGGGAATCCTCCCAAACTCATTCTATAAAGCCAATATCATCTTAATTCCTAAACCTCAAACAGAGAACCTATTTCCCTGATAAACACAGACACAAAAATCCTCAACAAAATACTGGTCAATCGAATCCAACAAAACATCAGAAAAATCATTCACCTGGACCAAGTGGAATTTATCCCTGCTATGCAGGGATGTTTCAACATTTACAAGTCAATAAATGTAATACATCACATCAACAAACTGAAGAACAAAAACCATGAGATTATCTCAATAGATGCAGAGAAGCATTTGATAAAACACAACACCTTTCATGATGAAAATTTTATGTAAATTGGGTATATAGAAGGAACATTCCTCAATAAAATCATGGCAATTTATGACACACCCTGGGCAAGCAACTTATTGAATGGGGAAGATCTGGTACCAGATGAGGATGTCCACTCTCACTACTGTTATTCAATAAACTCCTGGAAGTTTTAGCCAGAGCCATTAGTAAGGAAAAAAAAAATCAAAGGAATACAAATTGGGAAGGAGAAAGTGAAATTATTTGCAGATAACATGATTCTATATGGAGACAGAGGATCCAAAAGACTCCACTAAGAGACTATTGAAACTCATAGATGAGTTTGGTAAAATGGCAGGATATAAAATCAACACACAAAAGTCAACAGCCTTTGTATACACGGACAATGCCATGGTTGAGAAAGAACTTCTAAGATCAATCCCATTCACAACAGCTACAAAAAAAAATCAAAATTAAAAAACAAAAATCTTGGAATACATTTACCCAAGGAAATTAAAAATCTCTATGATGAGAATTACAAAACATTAAAGAAACAGAAGGTGTCACAGAAAAATGGAAAAACCTTCCATGATTATCGATTAGAACCATCAATATTATCAAAATCTCCATACTACCAAAAGGAATTTACAGAGTCAATGAGATAGCAATCAAAATACCCATGAATTCTTCTCAGCACCCAAGTGGGAAACCTGGAAGAAGCTCCAGGTTCCTAGCTTCAGATCAGCCCAGCGATGGCCATTGTGGCCATTTGGGGAGTGAACCACCAGAGGGAAGGCTCTAACTCTGCTTTCCAAATAAACAAATAAATCCTTTACTTTCTTTTTTTTCAAAGGAGAGATGGGCAAAGGACTTAAACAGGCAGTTTTCAAAAGAGGAAATCCAGATGCCCAACAGACACATGAAAAAATGCTCAGATCACTAGCAATCATGGAAATGCGAATTTAAACCACAATAAGGTTTCACCTCACCCCAGCTAGAATGGCTTTCATACAGAAACTGAGAGACAACAAATGCTGGTGGGGAGTGGGGGACCTTATCCACTGCTGGTGGGACTATAAACTGGCACAGCCACTGTGGAAGAAGACAGTATGGAGATATCTCAGAAATCTGAAAATAGACCTACCATAGGACCCAGCTATCCCACTCCTGGGAATTTACCCAAACCAAAAGAAATCAGCATATGAAAGAGTTATCTGTACCCCCATGTTCACTGCAGCTCAATTCAGGATAGCTAAGACAATGGTGCCTGCATTTTGGACTACAACGGCTGATCACGTGAAGTAAGATGAAATGTTCCAATGCAGTATCACACAAGCACTCAGAAAGTTTCAAATTTTGGGAAATGTAAGTCAAAATGCTCAATTAGTATGTATAAATAGAATCTATCAATATATTAATAAAACAAATACTAATATGATAAACCTCAATGCATACAGAAACTTTGCATGTAATTAATACATAGATATCAAAACAGCTCCTAATGGTTTCATTTCTCCAGAGAATCCAGATTAATATAGCAATTAAAATTTGGATCAAAAAAGATGAAAAGACTAAGGACACAGAATCTTTAAAAGGAATACTCTCATATATTGGGGAGATGTCTTTCTTTCCCACTTATTTATCTACTAAAGGAATACTCTCATATATTGGGGAGATGTCTTTTTTTCCCACTTATTTATCTACTGATTTTAAAATGACATTCATATGAATGCAGCTGAAATGTTTTATTATAAAACTCCCAAGTAACAATTCAAAGCAAGTACATTACTCTACTACGTAATATCAAAGTCTATAAAGATCTCTTGACTTCCTGTACAAATGAACAATTCTTACAGACCACCACCTCACTGAGATTTAATACAAGCACCATCTTTCTTCACCTACAAAGGACAGACAGACATGGGTAGGGAGGATGCTCCACAGCCCAGTGGTCTATTTTATGGGCCCATGAACTAAAGGAACAAATAAACTGATATAACCAGAGGCAGTGTGTGAAGGCACATGATTTAGAAGTCTTAAGATCGCTGGCGCCATGGCTCACTAGGCTAATCCTCCGCTTTGTGGCGCCAGCACACCGGGTTCTAGTTCCGGTTGGGGCGCCGGATTCTGTCCCAGTTGCCCTTCTTCCAGGCCAGCTCTCTGCTGTGGCCAGGGAAGGCAGTGGAGGATGGCCCAAGTGCTTGGGCCCTGCACCCCATGGGAGACCAGGAGAAGCACCTGGCTCCTGCCTTCAGATCAGCGTGGTGCGTCGGCCGCAGCACACGAGCCGCAGCAGCCATTGGAGGGTGAACCAACAGCAAAGGAAGACCTTTCTCTCTCTCTCTCTCTCTCTCTCTCTCTCACTGTCCACTCTGCCTGTTTTAAAAAAAAAAAAAAAAAAAGAAGAAGAAGAAGAAGTCTTAAGATCTAGGTTCTAGTTTTGGCTTCACTATACTAAGTATGGAACTGAGAAAATCACAACTGCTCAAGGTCTTAGTTATTTCATTAATGAAGGAGCAAAATGGATTTTTAGATGACCTCTAAAGTTTAGTTCTGTTCTGAAATTCCGTTATCCTAATTTAAATAATACTTTTCACTGGGCATAATGCCATTACAGTACAAGTTAAATGTCCAAATGATTAAACTTAAAGAAAATCTGGTTTCATCCCAAAAAAGGATGGTGTGATAATTTAGTCATATAAATTCATTCTTCTTTTGTTTTATGTCAATAAAAAGATAATATTTTCCCTGCCCAACTTCCTCTATCAAAAGGAATACATGTTTGGAGTCAGACACTAATCTGGCTATTTTGGAAATCACAGAATAAGGTTATTGACAATATAGCTGCAAGTAAGGTGCCCATCCCACACTGGAGTATCTTGGGTAAAACACCTCTGATTCTTCATTCTACTTCCTGCTGATGCAGGTCCTGTGGCTCCAGTGATGGTTCTGCTGATTGGGTTCCCACCACCAGGCGTGGGAGACCTGAACTGAACTCCAGGCTCCCCACTTCAGGCCATCATTGCAGGCATTTGGGGAATAGATGGGATGGGAATATGCTCTCTCCCCCAAGTTATCCCCTGCCCTGTCCATCTCTCTGCGTCTTTCAAATAAAAGATAAATTTTTGAAAACTCCATAAAATACATAATATATTCCAATTATGCCATGTTTTAGGATCACTTAATTACAAGTCTTTCAACCACATAGATATCCAATGGGACAAGTTCTGTAGAATATAAAAATACTCTGTATTGTTTATAAAGATTGTCCCACACACAAAAGAACTGTTATCTATCCTGGCCCCACTTACTAAATGCCCCTTAATGGTGATTCTGTAACCAGAAACGCCCTGAGAAACTTCTAGAACGTCTCCTAGAAAGCAATACCACCCCCAGTTCTGCCCTTATGGAGAACCACAGGTCTAACCAACAGAGTTCTGACTGCAACAGCTATGCTACCAATAAACCAAGAATACACAAGCAAAATAAAGGATTTCCCAAATCACTGATGATTTTAAATCCTTATATTTTCCCTTAAGATTAATAGTTTGTATGAATTAAAACAAAAAAGTATGCCTAATTTTCTGAGAGAAATACTTATATTTAGCTTTGCTTTCAAGTCCAAAGAAATTGTTTTTTTTTTTTTTTGAAAGGCAGAGTTAATGAGAGAGAGAGAGAGAGAGAGAGAGAGAGAGAGAGAGAAAGAAAGGTCTTCCTTTTTCCGTTGGTTCACCCCCCTCAAAAGAAATTCTTAACATGAGTATATGCTGCACAATTTGGTAAAAACTGAAGGAGAAACATCAGGCAGGAAACACTGACACTTGTGGTCATTCTGAAATCGCTGATTTGCAATCAGACTAATTCTTGCATTGTTGAGTTCAAAGAAAAGTAAAATTGGATCATAAATAATCTATTTACTTCAAAGAAAAATTCTAAATTCTCAATAAACATTTTTCTCTTTCAAAAGGGGAAACTGATATTAAATTAAAAAATATAAACCTTCACTCTAAATAATTTATGTAAAATAATTGCATCTGCTTTTCAGTCAGTCAAAAGAGAGATAAACTCTGAGCAAACATTAACATACAAAACTGAGTGACCTCGATAGAACTAAAACTGGTCTCTAAACAAATGTGTCAAACTGTTTTCAGAATGGAAATTACACACACTTGATAAAATACATTAAAATTTCTGTCCATCACTGGAAAAGACACCAAATTCTACTGGAAAGCACCAGCTGAAATACAGATCTTGCATTTAGGGACCAATGACTCAAATTAGAACAAAAACATGAATGGAGATCACTGTAGTGGGGAAAACCATATTTTTGTCTCCTTTTTTCATAAAACTCAAAGACATTCATCTGTTCTCATTAAATGGAAATCATGCACCAAGGGTGACGTGTTCCCACCTCACATCCTTCTCTCATTTCACCAGGACACATTTAAATTTACTTATTACATTCAAAGATACATTGATAATATAACCCCATTGAGTTACTAACACGGGGCGATTAGAGCAGGTTTATATCAGATTCATTAAGCAATAATCATTTAAAAATTATTAACTCCATGAATAAAGGAATAATTATTTAATTATTTTCTATACGCAGTAAAAACTAAGAAGTCCTGACATTTTTTTAAAATTCTATCCTAGATTTGCTCTAGAAAATCATAAATGGGCCTGGATGGCTCTGGCCATAATGGACATGGTAATGGCAATCTATCTTTTCCATCAGGAACATGTTATAAGATTTAAAAATGGACTTATGCAACTAACAAGCTACTTATAATACTAAAACTCAACAAAATAGATGTCATTTGGCTGAGTCTGACAAAGAAACCTGCCACATGTACTAAGGTATTTAACCACAGAAATCAAATGTTATAAGAAACCAGACCAAAGAACTTTGTACAAGCTTGCCTATACCATATCTAGGAGTTAAACACTGTCCCTAGAGTCTTCAAAGAAAAACTGATAATTAAAGGCATTGGGGGGGGGGGGGAGGAGATGAACCACAAACTATCCCAAAGACAATGGAAAAAAATAAAAATGTACTACCCCTATGCTCTTCAGAAAACAGAAGCAAGGTGCCAAAGAGACCAGAAGATTAACCATAATAAGAAAGACTTCAGATTGAGTAGCCAGTGCTTATAAAATCTACCTAATGGCAAGTTACTAAACCATCTGAAATTACAAATCAATACAGTTAGTAGAATTCTACTAGAAATGAAGCAGATCCTGTACGTGTGTGTTATACCTACTACATCATTTTGTTGAGTTCTAGGGTAAACATAATTTTAAAGGAAAGGAAAAATAAAAAAATGTTGAAATTAAAAAGTGATTAGCCAAAGTTTACTTTCTTAAAGATCATCAGAAACCACATTAAGAGCAGGGGGTGGGGGTGGGGGAGAGGAAAAGGAAAAAAAAAAAAAAAGGAAAAAAAAAAAGCAGGCTGTATCATATCACACAATGGTAAAGCAATCCATGACAGCTGATGTACCAGAAAGTAGTGGGGAGCAGTCTAGGCTATAGATGAAAGATAAATTGTCCACAAGTCTTAACTAGGTATTAGTAAAATCAACAATTTTAGAGGAAAAAGAGACTTCAGGAGAAAGAGTGTACTGAAGGGGTTAAATTATACCAATTTCCATCTAAAAGCTTATATTACTTATACCCTACAAAAGCATGTAAGAAACAAGAAGCCACCATCAAGCAGAAAATATTTAGAAAGCCTATGCTTAAGCATAAAGTACAAACAGGAAATAAGCGAGAAAAAAATAAAGTCGTAACCATTCATTTCATAATCATCCATTGTCATATTATTCACTCATCACTACACTCGTACTGAACATATATAATTCATCGCATGGAAGCAAAATCTCCAAGCTTCTCCCTACCTTAGATTTTTAGTCAAAATGAATGCAAACAATCACGTGGGACTCAGCCAAGCAGTGACGTTAAATTCTGCTCTGTCAGAGAGAGCATCTGTCAAGCCCACATTTAAACTGCTGCCTGCCTGTGCAGCAGCTGAGGAACCGTGGATTTCATATTATGGACTAAAACCCCAGTGAAACTGCTCAGAAAAATCCTTCCTGCAGCTTCCAGGCAAGACCGGCGGAAGAGAGGTAAATCCTATTCTTTTCCAACGCAATCAAAGCACTAGATTCCAGCTCTGGCTGCTTTACATTGCAGCTCAGTGTTCCTACTAGAAATATGGATACTGAGAAGAGAACACAGCACTGCATTGTCCAGCCAGGAAAACAGCAGATGTAAAAAGCTTCAATGCATCAACTGTCGGGAAGAGTCAACAGTGCTCCAAACAGAACGGACAACTACAGCTCTTTTGTTTAACAGAAGAGAGAGAAAATGAAAGAAAGGGAAAATCTCGGAAGAGTAGTACCCATATGAACAAGGAAGGGAACTGGAAGACAAGCAGACAGATGGACACTTTGGATACTGTGAAAAGCAATCGCAGGAGGCAGACTGCTGGGGGATGTGCGCATGTTCGATAGCATCTCTTTGCTGAAGTGATGGCGTGCCAAAAGTATTTTCAGTGGGCATAATCCTCTCCACATAAATGGGCTGACTGAGGAAGGTATGTCGCTGTGTTGTGTATGCTCTTCATTTGAATGTGTTACCTTTCTATGGCCCCAGAGGCACTAATATCTGAAAACAAGTTCATACAGTTCACTGCCTTTGAAACTATGAAAGGGTTTCTAAATATGATCGTAAAATCTGCCTCCATTTAGAAAACAAGCTGTTATTGCTTTATTCAGCTAAATATGCAGCATAGAGTAACTCTGGATTATAGACATAATAGAGGGAAAAGGCAAATAGTGATGTGTTTAAAGGATTCAGTGAGAAATTAAACTTAAAAATTTGTAGTACTTTACAGAAAACACAGCAATCTTCTATCAAATTAGGTCAAACTGAATTCTTATCCAGTGAATTAAAATGCTCTCTTAAAAATGGCTATCAAGAGACAATACAATGCAATTACACAGTAACAGTAGTACAGTATCAGAGATGATACTTAATATTAAGGTTTTTTTTAATTCTTAAGACCTTTTAGAACAAAATCTTAATATATAATCATTTTTAGAATGAAATCTTCCCTATTCCCTTTATTATCTTTGCAAATAAAGATAATGAAACAACCTAAGAGAATACCAACAAATTTTAAGTATCACTGAAATACAAGAAGATACAGGAAAAAAAAGCATTAGCACAAGATCACATGAGCCAGTGTGAGTTTATACATAGCATAACACTACAGTAGAGTCGCATGTTGTTACAGGGTCTTTGGACACAACTTTAAACAAAGAAATCTCAAGAACTGCTAAAAACTATGTTGCTTGAAAAAGTGAGCTTTTATTTTAGTTAACAAAACTAAAGTCATTCTAGTGCTCATTCTAAAAATAAAATTTAACAATCTGAAAATGCTGTTACAAAAATATCCACAGATGGCAGGCAGTACAAGGTCAAAAAATAAAGTATCAATGTAGCTAATGTTTCCAGGATATCTTAATATGTAGTAACAAACTACTGTCACTACATGTGTGTGCAGGGAAGAGATAAATTAAACTACTTGACCAATGTAGTTGGAATAGGAGGGCTCAAGAACTCAAATATTTATCTAAAATTTTACAGATCTATTCCAATCTTTACTTTTCCTCAATTTTGCATAACTCAACAGCCTATTATTTAATAATTAAAATGGCAACATTTTTAAGACATGTAGTCATTGTTTTTGAAACTGATCAAGTCTTTCAGGCCCAATTATATCTCAACATCAACTCCCAATCACAATCATGAATTTCTATTCTAATATAAGAAAATAGTATTAAACAAACAAAATATGGTTTGAAACATCTCAAGTCCCTCAATATTTAAAGTCACTATTAAGCAGTTTTATGAGCTGGACATCTCAAAATAGAAGTGTGGAAGTTTTTCTAATAAAGCACCACTTGAATCCACTGAAGATATCAACGCTTTTAAAAGCTACATGGTAAAAACTCTGTATACTGGACAGCGTATCACAGCACAGTCTCTCCCACAAACCTCAACCACACAATGTAAATACATATTATTAAACTGAAAATATTACTCCCAAAAAATTGCAAGCCATTTCTATTCTGAAAATGTAAAAGTACAAAACTACTTTGCATGCCAAAATACTTTAACTTCCTTGTCTTGTTCTCATTTATTAAGAATTGAAAGAAAATACGCAATAACTGGAGAGTTATACTATTGGATAAAAGGAAAAATAGCTCTTCAATTTTAGTTCCTTTTTAACAGAAAAACTGTAACAAATACCTGAGAAACTTCACTAAAGAATTCTTTAAGGCTAAACACATGAGCTTCAATTGTCAATGGGATATTAACAAATAGTGTGTGCGTGTGTGCGTGTATTTTTCCAGCATTGGCAGCTTACTATTTACAAACTATCATGAAATTTAAATTAAGATGTATCTTTATCACATATTGCTACAAAATCATGAGAACCAAAATTATTTATTTATGCTGCATTCAAGGTAAAGCAGTCTGCTCTTTTCTGTTAACACGGAAATGCTCTGGAGACATCTTCTCAGGTACACTTTTTGCATTAAAATAGTGTAACTTATTACTACAATATTTAACTTCATTTTTTCCTTTGGCCTTTAATTTGAACATTCACTCAAAACATCTGACCTTATACTTACTGCTTTTTAAGCCATTAAATTTATACTAAAGATTGTAATGATCAATCAGATCTCAGGCTTGTTACACCAACAGAATGCCGATACATTAAAGTATCCTAAGAAATCTAAAATAAATCATCAAATAAGTTTAAAAAATAACTTTTGTTTCTTTGAAATTTACAAGCACAATCCTTATATCTGCTGGTCTCTCTATAAGGTGGAAGAGGATTCATTACTATTTACTAAATACATAATTAGGAAACAAAAGCTTATAGTTTCCTCATCTAATCAGAACAGTCAGCTATCAGCAAGTACAAGGGAAAAAAAACTGCTTCTAACTCAAGAGTGGTCAGCTCCCTCATTTTCAGCTTAGTTCATAGCAGAACTATGAGCACATTTCATTGGTACACTGAGAAATGAGAGATGAAAATTCAGGTAAGTAAACCCTAATAGTAAGCTAGATGGCTATTTTTTAAATCCCAGACTTAAAAATCATGTTTCTATATCTCAAAAGGATTTTTTACATGTGATAAATACTATAAATTCTAAAAATACTATGTAATTTCACAAACTAGAAATTATCAAATGCTAGTGCCTGTACTGTTACACTTTAGAAATTCACTCAAATTCCCATCTACTTGCTCCTCCTAGTGGTTGGTACTAGAATAGCACTTTCATTAATAAACGCCCATATATGCCCAAACCTTCCAATCGGTATTTTCACAGTACTTAACAATGTATAGAATCCTACTCTCCAATTATTCAATTAGGTTTTACATGTAAATCCTATTACCTCCTAAAAATAATTAGATTTCATATCAAGCTTAAGTAAGTATATTATTAGCCATGAATCAATCTCAATACCACAGGTTAAATAAATGCATATATTTTTATATATCATAATTTCAAATAAACACTCTTTTATTACAATTATAATTGGTTTTCTTTTGCTTAAAGAAACAATTGTCATAGTAAAAGTTGGAAAATTAAAATTATACATTCATTAGTCTCTCTTCCTCAAAAGACTATTTCTCTTTTTAATGGTATTGAAACTACAACTGTTTTCCTATCTCTAAAAAAAAGTTACACCTTGGTCCAGAAAAAATACCAAACATGAATAAGTGTGTGCTACAAACTGCAAAACTTGTGTGAGACAGCACAACCGCTTTTAATATATATCTTTATAACTCCCCGCAAACTGATAATTTTTTTAAAAGTCTACAGCTCCAAGAGCTGTATTACTAGAAATTCTAAAATTTTAACTAATTTCCTGCGAGAACACATCACAGCTCAAGTGTATTCTAAAATATGCACTGTCAACATTAATGATTTTAAATAGCTGGGTAAGATAGTAGCTAGTGCCTATATTTTGTAAGAAACCCAGAAAGACTGTGCAAAGCAGTTCGTGATTTAGTCTAAACATGGAGACTCAACTAGGGTATATAACTGTGCTCTGCCGAAGTTATGATATTAAAGATGATTACTTGCTATATTTTAATGCCAATATTAAGTCTAAGAAAAGAAAATAATCTCCCAAGCAATTCTTATTTGAAGGGGAAAATCAAAATTAGAATAGAGTACTTTAAAGTGTTCACCATTTATTATTGTCTAAAAACGCAGCACTGAAGTTACTGGACCCTGAAAATTAATTTTGACAGGTGCATCTTCTCATTGACTTTCTCAACACAGTAGGGGCCAATGGAAACATGCCAAGCAGTGTACTGTGACTAACAGAACTCTGCCATAATCAACCTTGCACCGTCTGTCCCACAACTGATACATGATCATTTTACAAAAAAGGCCGCTGACTGTGCAGCATACCACCAATGGTATGTTAAATCAATTTTAATTAATGCCAATAAATTTTCTATCTGTTCCCAAAGGATTCTTACATGGGCTTTCTCAAGAATCTAGTAACATTTTTCTCTTCTATATGCATGCAACTTTTAAATTTTGAGCTTGGGTCAAAAGCACAATTGACTAAAGCTACCCAGACAATGAAATAAGTGGAAGAAAATTACTCAATTGCCTCCCTCTAAAGTGCTCACTGGCTAAAAAGTATATTTTTAAAGAAATCAATCTCGTTCTCAGCCATGATATATTGCCAAAAGGAAACAAATCATTAAGATTCACTTCTGGGTTATCATATTTTTACATCTTAAGAGATTCCAACTTAGTTTAATCTTATTAGCACCCAACATCCCTTTTAGGCAGTTTTGTAAGATTTGGCATTTTGTAAACTTTTATAATTCATCTTTATAGGATGACTGCGAGGGACACAACATGAGTGAAAAAAAAATGATTACCAAAGAACAGTACTGACTGAGAAGAAAAAAACACCACATTTTTCATCCACCACTATCTCCCAGACCACGGCTGGATTCTTCACAACATGTTTCAGTGGCGGAGAAGACACTGCTGCTTTGCCAAGATGACCTGGAATGCCAAGAGGTCTCTGTTCCGCACGCATCTGATCGGTGTACTTTCTCTAGTGTTTCTTTTTGCTATGTTTTTGTTTTTCAGTCATCATGACTGGCTGCCAGGCAGAGCTGGATTCAAAGAAAACCCTGTGACATACACTTTCCGAGGATTTCGTTCTACAAAAAGTGAGACAAACCACAGCTCCCTTCGAAACATCTGGAAAGAAGCAATCCCTCAAACTCTGAGGCCTCAAACAGCAACTAACTCCAACAACACAGAGCTGTCACCACAAGAAGTTACAGGGTTGGAGAACACACTTAGTGCCAACGGAAGTATTTATAATGAAAAGGGTACAGGACATTCAAATTCCTATCATTTCAAATATATTATCAATGAACCTGAAAAGTGCCAGGAGAAAAGCCCTTTTTTAATACTATTAATAGCAGCAGAACCTGGACAAATAGAAGCGAGGAGAGCTATTCGGCAGACTTGGGGCAATGAAAGTCTAGCCCCTGGTATCCAAATCACACGAATTTTTTTGTTGGGAATGAGTATTAAGTTAAATGGCTACCTTCAACGTGCAATACTGGAAGAAAGTAGAGAGTATCATGACATAATTCAACAGGAATACTTAGATACATACTATAATTTGACCATTAAAACACTAATGGGAATGAACTGGGTTGCAACATATTGTCCACATATTCCGTATGTTATGAAAACTGACAGTGACATGTTTGTCAATACTGAGTATTTAATACACAAGTTACTGAAGCCAGACTTGCCTCCTAGACGCAACTACTTTACTGGTTATCTAATGAGAGGATATGCACCCAATCGAAACAAAGACAGCAAGTGGTACATGCCACCAGATCTCTACCCAAGTGAGCGCTACCCTGTCTTCTGTTCTGGAACCGGTTATGTTTTTTCTGGAGATCTGGCAGAAAAGATTTTTAAAGTTTCCTTAGGTATCCGTCGTTTGCATTTGGAGGATGTGTATGTAGGGATCTGTCTTGCCAAGTTGAGAATTGATCCTGTGCCCCCTCCCAATGAGTTTGTATTCAATCACTGGCGAGTTTCTTACTCAAGCTGTAAATACAGCCACCTAATTACCTCTCATCAGTTCCAGCCTAGTGAACTGATAAAATACTGGAACCACTTACAACAAAATAAGCACAACGCCTGTGCCAACGCAGCAAAAGAAAAGGCAGGCAGGTATCGTCACCGTAAACTACACTGAAAAAAGGCAATTTTTTTTTCAAATGTGCAATCTGTAAATATTGCTGAAAGCATGTATAGTTAAAACTGATTACATTCATAGGAAAAGTTTTAGTTCAAATTCATCACATAAAGGAATTCAAAATTATTTTTTTAATTTCTGAAAAAGGCGACTTCTTAAAGTTGTTAACAGTCTATAGCAATTCTACGATAAAAAGGTACCCCAAAGGAATCTATAGAAACTGTATGAGGGGATTCTATGTATTAACATGCAATAACAAGCATGCATACATTAATGGCTCAAGTCTTTTGTTAATCTATTTGCATACATTTTCCACATAAATTTTAAGAAATGAATACAGTCAAAACATCCTTCATTTTAGATTTAGCTTTTCATTTCAATACATAATTAAATGTAAGTAAAACATTACTATCAACTTCAAGGAAACTTTGTAATCGTGCAAAGGACAAATTCTCTGACCTGACTATTCTAGGTTTAAAAAATTGCTCCATGCAATAAGATTTAGTTGAATTATTCTATAAACTCATTCATCAAGTACAGATATTTCATCATTGCAGGTGTCACCTATTTATTTTTAAAACAATTGAGATACTCGTTTCAATTTCTTCTGTTGATACATATATCAAGGAAAATTACCCTGATATGATGTGATAAAATGTGAAAAATTAACCTGTCTCAGGCTCAAGTTATTATATGAAAAGTTATTAAACATTCCAAAATAGAAAACTTTTGTTTCCTCATTAGTAAGGTCATCCAAGTATTTCAATGAATTATTCAACTACATCACTTACTGCACTCTTAAAAAGTACCACCATTTAGCTTCAAGGCTATCTGACTTTAAGCTATCTATAAAAATAAATTACGTTCCTCTAACTGAAGTAAAAGTCATCATTTAAAGGCAGAAAGAAGATGTACTGTAGAAAGAAAGATACAGACTAAAGAGTGCAGCACCATTTTCATTCAATGCATTGTTGAACGCATGTCTGCAAAAACACAACATACGGGAAGTTTCTTTCCTGACAGCAGGTGTACACATGCCAATACTTAATCATCAGGTGTACACATGCCAAAACTTAATCATCTGGAGGCACCTATTTCTCTGAGTGCCAAGTTTACAAATCTGCATTTCTGGTAGATGACAATCGAAATACCATTTAAAACCTTTTTTGAGAAGGGATGGGGAAAAACTACAAATGATTAATGAAAACTAGACTCTAGGCTGAAATATGTATAGAATGCACTTTTATTAAGGCTTTAATAAAAAAAAGTAAACAAAAAGGCCTCTACTGAGTGTTATGATACAAATATTTTCATAGTAATCTGATTCATGAGTTTCAGAAATGAAGAAATACTAACTCACCAACCTTAAAGCCATTTTTTCCTATAAGTATGTATGTCTTAACTTAGTTATGATGCTTCCAATCTTAATTCTATTAACAGTCATTTCTGTCCAAACCTAAAATACATCACCAGAACAGAACTATAATATTTGTAAAGTTCAGAATCACAAAAGTGTGTTGTTCTTTTTATTTACAATGTTGAATTCTATGTACAACTCTATTTGTCTCCCACTTTCAATTAAGTACTCCCTGTCCTATCCTACCTAATTATGAGTAGTTATGAAAAGTGATCTATGTAACACGGTCCAAGTCAATGTTTTACTTAATTTATTCTCTATAATTACAAAATGACCAAAATTACTCAATAAAAGTAACATGTAAGAGGATAATATCAAATTAGACTGGTAAGTTTGAAGAATGACAGAAGGAACCCTTTTCTCAGCACAGAATAATTCTGATTTATACCTCAGAAAGTTAAAAAAGGGTGTATGCGCATGCACAGATAGTACCCCCCCAAAAAAAAAAAAAAAAACCACCAGAAACCAGGCATTATTTTTCCAAACTATGATTAGAGTGCAGTCACTAAAAAGATAGCATTTTCATTCAGGAAATATTGAGATTTTAAAAAACTGCCTTTTGAAAAACAGAATTCTTAACAGAAATCTACATTCCTTCAATTTCAGGTATCAATTTAAAATAATGTTTATATTCTTGATAATACTACCTTGAAATGGACTGAAACAAACTCTTAATTTCTTAATATAGCTGAAAATCTTTTTATAATAAATAGTCTATTGTTTTATTTTTCTCAACATTTCACTCTCAACAATACACATGCTGATTTCTAGAGCAAAAAGTGCTGATGTTATCCAAACATTCCACCAATTGTTAATCACGCCTTCTTCATCCCAGTACTACGTAATTCTTATGCAAATGAAGAATATAATTCTATTTTTAAAAAAGACAATCTGTATTGAAAGGCAGAGAGAGAGAGAGAGACAGAGAGAGGGATATCAATTATTTTCCATCTTCTATTTACTTCCTATATGCTCGCAACAGCTTAGAGCTGAGCCAAGCTGAAGGCATGATCCCAAAACTCAATCTGGGTGTTTCATGTGGGTGGCGAGGACCTAAGTACTTGAGCCATCACCTGCTGCTTCCTAGGGTACATACTAGTAGGAAGCTGAAATTGAAAGCAGAGCTGGGACTCAAATCCAGATACTCTGACATGGGATATGAGTGCCCAAGCAGCTCCTAACTGCTCTATCAAATGCCTGCCCTGAAAAATATAATTTTAAATGGCTGCATGCCATTTGCTTTACCAAAAAAATTACAGTAACAACTACATAAACTTCATGCTCAAAGTTTTAACAGAAATTTTAAAGGATTAAAATACCAATATTTTTGGGACTTACCACACTAGTTTATTATCATAAATATTAGTGTTGATGAAATTCTAACTCAATCACATAAATTAGATTTCACCTCTTCTCTTTGTATACAATATAATCTCAACTGGAATTTTTTTAACATATATTTCCAGGAAATTATACAAAAATAAAAGTAACAGTAACGGGAATCATTTACTGATTGTGCAAGCAGTGTGCTTGGTGTTGTGTTCAAGTCGTTTACATACATGATCTCATATAAACAACAGTAAAGAGAGAGCAAAGAACATCTCACGTTGGGGGCTTGATCCGTGGTGTAGTAGGTAAAGCCACCACCTGCAATGCCAGCATCTCATGTGGGTGCCAGTTCAAGTCCTGGCTGCTCCACTTCCGATCCAGCTCTCTGTTATGGCCTGGGAAAGCAGGGAAAGATGGCCCAAGTACTTGGGCCCCTGTACCTGCGTGGGACACCTGGAAGAAGCTCCTGACTTCTGGCTTTGGATAAGTCCAGCTCCAGCCGTTGCAGCCATTTGAGGAGTGAACCAGCAGATGGAAGACCTCCCTCTCTCTACCTCTGCCTCTCTGTAACTCTGCTTTTCGAATAAATTAAATACCTAAGAGCAGAGAGTCAGTAAAGCTACAGATTTCCCTTTCAGAGATCATGCTATTAACCATTAGGCTGGTCTGCTATGTATTTTGCCTGAGACACCTGCTAAGAGATCTGAAGAGCTAAACAAAAATGGCTGTTCCTCTATTTTCTCATTCTCTGCTTTTTGTTCATCCTTTTCTAGGACCACCAGCCTTCACACACTGGAGGGGCACCTAACGACTGTTGGGTACAAATATAGAGAAGGAAAAGAAGATATCTGACCCCCAGTTACTTTGTCTTCTTTACAGTTGCTCATGCATGGTGACCAGAACCTTGAAAAGCACATGCGTGACAGCTTATCGTTTGCTGCCCAAGGCATCAAGCTGCATGTGTCCATAGTAGGCAAGCTGAGGTGCTCCTCTTACAGCACAGTTGACGGCAGCACTACAGCTGCAATCATTTCTAATGCCGAGTCCCTCTGCTCTGTGGTGAGGCGGTAATGCTTATTTACCCAGCTGATTCAATCAATTCTACTCTGATCTGCCCTGCATAAGTAGAGAATGACTACTAATACAGAACTAAGAAGAAAAAATAAAAGTCTACGTATATTTATAAGATACCTCAAAGAATGCCACTGTATCGCTCAGACTTCATTTGTAGAAGACAGGCTAGGAACACTGAAAACACAACACACACCCTAAAAGGAAGAACCTTGTCACTGTGCACTCCACCAAGCTACACTCACCCACTCTCCTGCCAGCGTGATGGAACCATGAATCCTGCAACTCTCAAGACACAATCCGCCCAAGGAAGAGTGTGTCTGATTCTACAAAGGCTTGTTCCCCACCCTTAACCGCAGCACATGAATGAGCTGAGGTACCTCAATAAAAATTAGTAAAAGCAACAGAGCATCATTCAACAGTCTCAGGGATTTTTGTTTTTCTTTTGTTTTTTAATCATTTAAGAGGCAGAGGGAGAGGGAAATAGAAAGCTCCCATTCACTGGTTCATTCCTCAAATGGCTGCAATGGCCTGGACCAGGGGCCAACGTCAGGAGCTGGGGAATCACTCCAGGTCTCCCACATTACTTGAGCCACCACTGCTGCCTCTCAGGGCACGCAGTGCCAGGCAGCTGGAGTCAGGAGCTGGGGCAGTAACTCAGGTACTCCAATAAGTGATGTGGGTATCTTAAATAGCATTTTAACCCCTGGGGTAAATAATCCCAGTTCTGATCTCATTTTGCTAGCAACCACACTTCTATGATTTATATGAAAGGAACCCATATGAATTTAATTTGGAAATGGTTTCTACCATTTTTTTTGTTTTATTCATTTATTTATTTGAAACACAGAGTTACAGAGAGGCAGAGAGAGAGAGATCATCCATCTGCTGGTTTACCCCCAAATGCCCAAACAGCCAGGCTGGGCCGATCCGAAGCCAAGAGCCAGGAGCTTCTTCTGGTCTCCAACGTGGGTCCAGGGGCCCAAGGACTTAGGCTTTTCCTCTTGTGGCACATCTCGGGCCCCTGTTTTTGTTTTCTTAACACAACTAAGAAATGCATGGGGCTGGAATTGTGACGCAGCAGGTAAAGCCACCACCTGTGAAGCTGGCATCTCATATGGGTGCCAGTTCCCATCCTGGCTGCTCTACTTCCAATCCAACACCTTGCTAACACACTTGGGAAAGCAGGGAAAGATGGCTCCAGTGTTGGGGTTCCTGCCAGCCACGTGGGAGATCCGGAAGAAGCTTCTGATTCCTGGCTTCAGCCTAGCCGAGTTCTGGCAGTTGAGGCCATCTGGATAGTGAACTAGCAGATGAAAAATCTCTGTGTATCTCTCCCTGTCTCTAAGTTAGACCTTCAAAATAAGTAAATAAACAAATATGTTTTAAAGATCACATCAGTGATTCCTGAACTGAAGTAAACATGACTATGAAAAAAAGAAAAGATTATTATGAACACTAAAATCCACTAATTCAAAGAAAAAAAGAATTCAGAAAAATCAGCCAAAAACAAGATAAATACTCACCCAAGAGCCTTATGGCATAATCACGTGTTTTTTGTGTGTGTGGTTTTTTTTGTTTTTGTTTTTGTTTTTTTTGACAGGCAGAGTGGACAGTGAGAGAGAGAGAGAGAGAGAGAGAGAGAGAGAGAAAGGTCTTCCTTTTGCCGTTGGTTCACCCTCCGATGGCCGCTGCGGCCGGCGCACCGCACTGATCCGAAGCCAGGAGCCAGGTGCTTCTCCTGGTCTCCCACGTGGATGCAGGGCCCAAGCACCTGGGCCATCCTCCACTGCACTCCCAGGCCACAGCAGAGAGCTGGACTGGAAGAGGGGCAACCAGGACAGAAATTGGCACCCCAACCGGGACTAGAACCCAGTGTGCCAGCGCCGCAGGCGGAGGATTAGCCTATTGAGCCGCGGCACCAGCCATAATCACCTGTTATACAGTATACATGGAAATGTTTAATTCACAACACTAACATTTTTACAATAAGAAAAAAATAAGTGTTAATTATATAGAGAAAATTAAACTTTTACTAAGAAGTATGAAAATAAAGATTATTTCTTCAGGTAGGAATACCCATCTTCTGGAATTAACATTTTGTTCATCTACATTTATAAATGTTCCCAAGGTAATTTGTTATAAGGTCAGTGAAAACCCAATCAAATCTTAATGAATTTAATTGTCTATGGTGATAGAAATCACAAAATGATTATAAAGTTAATATCAAGGGCTGGCATTGTGGTGTAGTGGGTAAAGCCACCACCTGCAATGCTGGCATCCTACACAGGCAATGGTTGGTATCTCAACTGCACCATGTCCCATCCAGGTCCCTGCTAACACATCTGGGAAAAGCAGCAGAAGATGGCCCAAGTACTTGGCCCCCACTATCCATATGAGAGAGCTGGACGAAGCTTTAGGCTTCTGACTTCAGCCTGGCCCAGCCCTGGCAGTTGTGACAATCTGGTGAGTGAACTAGCATGGAAAACCTCTCTTTCTTTCTCTCTCTCACATGGAAAATCTCTCTGTGTAGCTCTCACTTCAAATAAATAAATAAATCTTTTTAAAAAAATAGAATGCAACTAAAACAAACTGAGAAGTAAACATAAAAATATAATAATGATGATTTAAAACTTCCTGTCCTTGAGATGCAGAAGAACCACTCTTTACTATGAAAACTGACAAAAGAAAACAAGAAAGTCAGGATTATGACTAAGCATGTAGTAGAGCCAGAAAGAATATTTAACACATTACAACAAAATGCTATGTTTACTGTAGCAGATGAAGAACAGAATTTTTAGGATTCCTTCAAAGACTTTTATAATCTAAATAATTCAGTATAAGAAAGTATTTTTTTCCTACTGATTTTCTATATAAACCTAGCTTATACATGTTTATTCACTAAAATAGTGAAAATACCAAGGTATTGAGAAAGAACAGGTATTACTTACTCTTAAGGATACCACTTATTGGGCCGGCGCCGCGGCTCACTAGGTTAATCCTCCGCCTTGCGGCGCCGGCACACTGGGTTCTAGTCCCGGTCGGGGCGCCGGATTCTGTCCCGGTTGCCCCTCTTCCAGGCCAGCTCTCTGCTGTGGCCCGGGAAGGCAGTGGAGGATGGCCCAAGTCCTTGGGCCCTGTACCCCATGGGAGACCAGGAGAAGTACCTGGCTCCTGCCATCAGATCAGTGCGGTGCGCCAGCCGCGGCGGCCATTGGAGGGTGAACCAACGGCAAAAAGGAAGACCTTTCTCTCTGTCTCTCTCACTGTCCACTCTGCCTGTCAAAAAAAAAAAAAAAAAAAAAAAACAGGATACCACTTATGAAACACAGATGGAGTTAAAGAAACAAACAAAAAACAGTACAGATACAGATAGATTGGTTATACACACACCTTCTGGGAGGTATGAATTATAAAAATGTTTAGTGTAAGAAAATGAAAAGAATACTCAAATATGATCACCAGTTTGCCTCAAGTTGTGCAAAGTATAGAGAAACCATCTTCTGCAACAGCTTCCCAAAAATCTCTGGATTAGGATAGATATAAAAACTCAAGAGTGGGGCTGGCACTGTGGCACAACAGGTTAAAGCCCTGGCCTGCAGCACTGGCATCCCATACGGGCACCAGTCTGAGTCCCAGCTGTTCCACTTCTGATCCAGCTCCCTGCTAATGCACCTGCGAGAGCAGCAGAGGATGGCCCAAAGCCTTAGGTCCCTGCACCCATGTGGGGGACGTGGAAGAAGCTCCTGGCTGCTGGTCCTGGCTTTGGACAGCTCATCCCCAGCAGTTGAAGCCATTTCAGGACTGAGCCAACGGATGGAAGACCTCTCTACCCATGTATCTACCTCTCTCTGTAACTCTTTCGAATAAATAAATTCAACAAAAAATCAGAGAACAGACTTATTAAAGATGAGCTAAATAATTAAGTAAAATTTTTATGAGACTGAAATTAGTAAGACCAGATTTGTGGGGACAGCACCGTGGCACAGGTTCATCTTCCACCTGTGGCGCCAGCATCCCATATGGGTGCCGGTTCTAGTCCCGGCAGCTCTTCTTCTAATCCAACTCTCTGCTGTGGCCTGGGATAGCAGCAGAAGATGGCCCAAGTCCTTGCCCCTGCACCCATGTGGGAGACCAGGAAGAAGCACCTATCTCCTGGCTTCAGATTGGCGCAGCACCAGCCGTTGCAGCCATTTGAGGAGTAAACCCACGGTATAAAGACCTTTCTCTTTCTCTCTCCCTCTCACTGTAACTCTACCTCTAAAATAAATAAGTAAATAAATCTTTAAAAAAAAAAAACACCAGATTTGAATAGTCACTGTGTACAATGATTCCCAAACTCTACTACAGAAAAATGGAATTTTATGATAGATGGAATAATGCTAAAAAAAAATTAATTATCTGTTCTAAATTTTAGAATGCCCTCAGAAGCAGCAATTTTCACTGAGAAGCTACTCCACTACCAATTTAGAAAGTTCAAGTAAGACTGTGTGTCAAGGTAAGCTAATCACAAGTCTCATCAAGCTAAGAAGATCAGAGATCCTCTATTCTAGTAATGTGAATTTTGAGGGAATCACACACATACACACACATTCTCTCTTAGGCACACTGCAAACAGAGAAAATGGTAGGAGCCACATTATTTGAATTTCAGTATCCTGAAAAACTTGTCCATTAATTCCTGCCACCTGATCTCCAGAGCTTCTATGGCTCCTGTCCCTTCTACCATTCGGTTTATCAGTTTTATGAACTCCACATAATCTATTTTTCTTCTCAAAAATCCACTTAGTCAAAGACTCAGTTTTTGTTTGTAATCAAAGAATCCAAATTGACAGAAAATCCACTACCACCAAATTCTGCAGTAATAATAATGATACAGTAATGCTCTGAAGACCATGTCCCCTTCTGTGTGTCTCTGTCCCCTGAAGAAAGCAGGCTAAAAAAGGATTCAACAACAACTCTATGGGAGAAGTAAAACAGAAAATTTTCTAGTGTTTATAATCCAAATCCATGGCCAAGTCTCAAAGGTGCAACAAAGCAACGATTACAACATAATGGAGGTAACACTATATTGTACTAAGGGTTTGGGGACTGTATTGCTAAGGACACCATGAGTCACTGCTAACATATCCCCCAAAGTAACAGGAAAGTTGACTGCCTGGGCCTGAGACAACATAAAATGCTTTCTGAGCAAACACTGTGATGAACAGCCAAGACTGGATGGCCTACTATTTTACATTTATTTAAAATTTGTTTTAAAATTTTATTTAAGGTATGCGCATTTGGCCTAGCAGATGGGAGCTTCTCTGTCTCATCCCCCTCTCTGAAATAAATAAAATTCATTTTGAAATAAAAATGAATTTACTTGAAATGTTATTCCTTTATCAGAGATTTGTCTTTTGATGATGTTAAAAA